AGTGCATGTTTTATGCTCAGCAATTTTGTTGTGTATGCGTTGGGGATTCATGGAAACGTTGTGCATTTTCACTATCTGAATAAGCTGATGTGATCGTCCTGGGTGGTGGTTGGTTGGGGACCTGCCGTGCTTATTATTTGATTCAGGTTTTTGAGGCGTCATAATATTTGGTATGGTCCCTCTAATCCATGTGGGAGTGATGATCCTGAGGTGAATGCGTCTACTATAAATGCAAATTTTGTGTATGTTGAATAGTGCCATCTAAGTTTCAAATATTTGTTTTTCAAAGAAAGGCGGGAGCATTGCTGCTCACAATTAAATTGAGACGCTTATTAGAAACCAGAGAAAGTGGATAAGAATACTTGCAGAAGAGAGGAATCTGCATGATTATAGAGTCCATGTATTTGGTGTGACCCATAACGTAAGGTGATGTCGGTAGATTACTATATTACCTTCAGTGTTGCAGATGTTCATGTGCACACTTTTCTACTGCAAGTTTAGATGGCAGACGGTGTTCAGTCCCTGCTAATCTCTCAACTCATTTGAGTATTTGACTATCTTATACAGTTGACCCTGAAGATATTCCATTGGAGAAGGTTCAAGTTAAATCCTCAGGACATGTTCTGCCATATGTTGGTGTTGCTTGTTTGGGGGCTATTCTGTTTGGTTATCATCTTGGGTATGTACTTTATTGCTGCTACAAGATGCTTGTTTCTTAAGCACAATTGGATAAAGCATAATTTTCTGCTTTTTAGTTGACAAAAAATGAATAACAACCTGGAAGTAAAACAGATCCATCTTTTCTGCACTTTTCTTGTGAACACAAAAACTGTTTGTTAATAGCATGAATCCATTTCATGGAATGTAGTGTGGTCAATGGCGCGCTTGAATATCTCGCGAAGGATCTTGGGATTGCTGAAAATGCTGTCTTGCAGGGTATGGCATACTTTTACATGCTCAACTTACTCATACTTTTTCTCCGTGTTTGTAAAGGAACATCTGGCACTTGGATTGATTGTGCAGTGCAATGCTTTCTTTGCCAAGGCATACAATTGGCATGTTTTCTAAAGGAGCAGATAGATGACTTTAATCACTCAATGATAATAGTTGCTTCTGTGAGATATCTTTTTGCCATATGCTTCACTAGACATCTGTTTGTTACTCAGGATGGGTGGTTAGCACATCCCTGGCTGGTGCAACTTTAGGTTCTTTTACCGGGGGATCTTTGGCAGATAAATTTGGGCGGACAAGAACATTCATTCTGGATGCAGTCCCGCTTGCTCTAGGTGCATTCTTGAGGTGTGTTTTGAATTATTTAGTTGTAAGTCGTAAGTATACACTGTTATCTTATATGAAACTGACACAGAAACATCTGCAGTGCAACAGCTCAAGATATCCGCACCATGATTATTGGTCGGTTGCTTGCTGGAATTGGTATTGGGATCTCATCTGCTCTTGTACCCCTTTACATATCTGAGGTTGTGATATGTTGAAATGGCAGTTGCTTTGTTCAAAATCTAATTCTATTGTGATATGTTACAGTTACTTCTGTCTTTGTTCAATAGCTACTGCCTGTGTTAACGAACATCTCCTACAAATGATCTTCTTGTACTTTGCAGATCTCACCAACTGAAATTCGTGGAACACTTGGTTCTGTTAATCAACTTTTTATCTGCATTGGAATTCTTGCAGCTTTGTTAGCTGGATTGCCTTTGGCAGGAAATCCTGCCTGGTAAGTTTTCCATTAGCTTGTTCATTTGTTTCCCCGCTTCATTGTACTTCTTGATTAACATAAGCAATATTGAAATATTGACAGTGGAAGAACCACACACTTTTTTATTCAACCTTTCTATCCCATAAATTACATCTAGATATGCAATCCATATGGCAACAAATTCCATATGATATATGGATTATATTCATGCTCTCGTCATTTGTAACTGTATTTTATCAGGTGGAGGACAATGTTTGGAATTGCTGTAGTTCCGTCCATTTTGTTGGCTGTAGGAATGGCCTTTTCGCCTGAAAGCCCTCGTTGGCTATTCCAGGTTTCTGTTTGCAAATTCTTTGAACATACTGTGTACTTTGGCCTCCAGACTGTGGCACAATACTCAATATTTACTTTTCTGACATTAACTGCAGCAAGGAAAGGTTATTCAAGCAGAATCAGCTGTAAAAAGACTGTATGGGAAAGAAATGGTTACCGAAATTATGTATGATCTGAGGGCTAGCGGCCAAAGTTCTTCTGAGCCCGAAGCTGGCTGGTTTGATCTTTTCAGCAAGCGTTACTGGAAAGGTAGTTTTGTTTTGACAGTTTCAGAATTGGCAAATTTGGTTCCCTAACAATTGCATGATGAAATATTCTGTGATTATTCTCTTCTCATTCCATTCTATTGCTAGCATCATCCAATATCTAATGAAGTTAATAACTTGGGTGGAAATATCTGCCGTTTTACCAGAAATTGCTGGTTCTTGGAATTCCAAAGATTTTTAATGGGGTGAAAGTGGTTTGGTGCATAGCAATTGCTTAATTTAAGTCATGTGTATGGAAACAAAAATGCATATTCATTACTTATCAGGAAACTAAGTATGTTAATGGATTTTATGCTATTACATTTGCAATGGCCTTGTGTTTCATGCACATATGTCATCACTCATAGTTACATCTTGAACAACCTAAATTAGTTCCTCCAGTCACCAAAAAGCGATGCTCTGGACATTGATACAGTCTCCGAAGACACAACTTTGACTACTAGTTTGTCCTTGACAACATTGAGAAACCATAGCAAAATTGTATGATTATTAAAATCTTTTTTTTGACAACTAAATGTACACAAAGTAATTGATGATGAAAGTTTTGATATGTTGACTGCATACAACCTAAAACATCAACGAATTGATACTATGGTGAAGACACTACAAGACATGATTTCTGATATATCTTTCATTTGCAGTTGTGAGTGTGGGGGCAGCACTGTTTTTGTTCCAGCAGCTTGCTGGTATAAACGCTGTTGTATATTACTCTACATCTGTGTTCCGCAGTGCAGGCATTGCATCTGATGTTGCTGCTAGTGCTCTTGTTGGAGCAGCCAATGTTTTTGGTAAGTTTACTTTTAGTAATAAGATTTTGATATTGACAGAACATATTTTTTGATGGGGGTATATTTACTTGTAGGCACCATGATTGCATCTTCTCTAATGGACAAGCAAGGAAGGAAAAGCCTTCTGATGACAAGCTTTTCTGGAATGGTAATGCCCTTGTGTTTAACAAATCATGAGTTTATTTTCTCTCAATCAGCAAATGGAGGGTTCATATTCACTTTTTTCTCCCTTGAAGGGTGCTTCAATGCTACTCCTAGCATTGTCCTTCACCTGGAAAGCTCTGGCACCTTATTCTGGTACTCTTGCTGTTGTTGGAACTGTTCTGTAAGTTGTTAATGATTCATCTTGTTTGGTCTTCCTGATTATATTTGAATGTATAACTTGAATGTTTGACATAACTGGAGTATGATTTTGTGCAGGTATGTGCTGTCTTTTGCTCTAGGAGCTGGTCCTGTTCCTGCCCTACTTCTTCCTGAAATATTTGCCTCTAGAATAAGGGCCAAGGCTGTTGCATTATCTCTAGGCATGCACTGGGTGAGTCACAACTGTTCATACATACGCTAATACCAAATGTATATAGTTGTCCTAAGTCCCAACCAATCACATTCTGTTTTATTCATTGCGGTATATCTTGCTTTGGTTTTCTCATTCCACTACATAATTTGCGACACATGATTTTGCAAAATATAAGGTAAGATAATTGCTCTGGTGAATAGAGATTGATTGAAAATTTGGGCATGTTAAGTTCGTTTTCTTATCGTCCTTGATTAATATCGATTGCTCTGTTAGATAGGTTTAGTTTAAACTTTGAAGGCATTACTAGTAAAAGCTTCAGCCATTCCTATTCGCTCCATTAAAAATTGCTTTATTCACCTGAGGTATGTTAGTCAATATCTGGATTTCTGAATCTTTTGCCCTTAAATTTGTTCAAACTTCTAAATTCTATATGAAATCCTTTCTAGCTGCTAAGATGATTAACACTACCCTAATTAAGTAATTAACCTTGGCTTTACTTACATATACCATTGAGTTCTTAACCTATTTTTCTTTTTCTTTCTTCAGGTATCCAACTTCTTTATTGGCCTGTACTTCTTGAGTGTTGTCAACAAGTTCGGGATCAGCAATGTATATTTGGGATTTGCATCAGTGTGCGCCCTTGCAGTTCTTTACATAGCTGGGAATGTGGTGGAGACCAAGGGGCGATCACTTGAAGAGATTGAACGGGAACTAAGTGTAGCAGAATGATGTGCTTTTGCTAGTCATGCTGCGGCGCCGTTTTGGTGATTGAGAATGCAACCAAGCACACAACCGAGCATCCTTGGACCTGGAGACTTTTTCCAGTTTCATGTAGTTTCAGAAATAAGCGAACGGCAAGAATGCCAATCGTAGGTGGCCTGGTGTGTGCAGTGAGGGGTTGTGTTCGAGCAGTAGTTTAGCTGTGCTTCCCCTACTCCCCTGTCATCAATCAGAATTCAGAAACAATGAACCTGTCGATGTTTCTGGAGATAAGTTTTTCATTGTTCTCAAATTTCGTCGTTTCTCGTGTATAGATGAACTCTCGTCTCCTGAAAATAGAATGTTTTTTTTTAAATGGTAGAAAGTCCCGCTCGCTCTTCATCTGGATCCATATTGCGATTGGTATCCCACTGCGTTTCCTGTTGATGGAAATGCCGGCAAATCCATGTGACTTGTCAGCCTGCAGTGGCCCAGTCTAGATAGATCGTTGTCCTCCGGTCTCCGGATGCGCACGTTTACTCGCAAGCACGGAACGCGCCAGCCAAGCGTGTAGGTCGCTGTCTGCTGCCATAGGTCGCCCCGTCTGCCTGAGCGGATGAAGCTAGGGAGCTCGCTAGTCCCAACAACCAGCAATCATTTCACAGCAGCGCGGCGCCGAGAAGATGGGCTCCCCCTCCTACAGGCTTGCTGCGGCGATCACGGTCCCCTCGACCGGCGAGTTCCTCGTCGCCCGGCAGCCGCGCCCGCCATCCCCACCCGATGCGGAAGAGGACTACCGGCGCTTCGTCGACAGCGATCTCTACGACCTCCCGTCCGCGCCCCTCGCGGGGACACCCCGGTCGGAGGTGGCCATCGGCGGTGCGGACTCTGTCGCCGGCCGCCTCGACCTCTCGCGCCTCGACGTGTCCGCCGCCCTTGATCAGGTGACCTACCCATTAGCCGAGTTACAGAGTTAATTTTTGCGCTCTGTTGAAGTTGTTACCCGTGGCTACAGTTGTTTAGCAACAGCAAACTAGTTCTCAAAGTGGCACCTCGATTTCGACCTGTAATTTTTGGTAGGGTATCTGTCTAAGCTCAATTTTGGCAAACTTTGTTCTAAATGATGGCTTCTCGTAGATTTTTGACCAATTCGGCTTGCCTGATGGGATGTGTGGGGAGTGGAGGCTCCTCAAGTATGTGGAGGAAGCAGAGTTTGGCCCGGACGCTGGCATTAACACGGTGTACATCATCGGGTCCCTTGAGTCGAAATTGGATGCTCTACAAGGTCAGATGCTTAACTTTTGAGTGTTTTTTATTATGGAATTGCTTGACCATCATGCGTTGCCCATGGCAGAGTCATGTAAATGGATGTCCAAGGAGTGTGCATTGAGGTTGCTTTCGGAAGCGAAGCCAGGTAATGATCGCATAGGACAGTATGCATATATTGGACTTTTGAATTCGGAGCTGTCATCAAACCGCACAGCTTCTCCTGCATTGCCCTCCCAGGTATCACCCTTTTTTCCCCTTCAATTCATGCCATATAGTGACAGATAGTTTCCCAGTCCTGAAATGCATTGTTCAATAGGAATACCCACCTGGAATAACACTTGTACCTATGAAGAGTAGGACACTAGCGCCATTCCGCACAACTAATCTCGTGGTAGTACGATCAACCAATGGTGCTGGTGGATCTACATGTTCTGAATTTTTTGCTTCGGGGGAAGCTCTGCTTATAGATCCTGGATGCAGCTCTCACGTTCATGCAGAGGTAAGAGAAAATTTCATTACATTGTGTTCTTTAGAAAAGCCAATGTGCATACATGTAAGTATCTTTAACATCGCTGTCTTATGAAGTGCATTTCCCACCTTAGGTTTGTTTGTTTTAATTGGATTGTAGATTTTCACCAGGTGTCTTCCCCTTATTTATTTGCTACAGTTCCTTCCATGCTAGACCTATATTACTGAGTACTGACAGTTTCTTCATGTGCCCTTATTTCCTTGAGGCCTCAAGATTTGCCAGTAGCTTTATGAGGAAAGGGTTAGTGCCTGATTATTTCTGTATATCACAGCACAGTAGAAGTAGCAAAAATACAAAAGGATGACACCAGGGACAAAATCTATGAGACTTCTTGATAAAACATTACCTTTTCAAAATGTTCCAGCTGTTTCTGTAGGAATAACACTGTATGCACACCTGCAGACACCATGGAGTGTTTATTGGAATGCTTACTCTGAGTAGACCTTTTGCATGTACTGGTGCTTCCATTCTATTGACTAATTACATTCTTATCATGTTTAGCTTGCAGATCTCATCGATTCCCTTCCAAAAAGGTTATTAGTTCTTGTTACACATCATCATCACGATCACATTGAGGGTACGATGAAAAATATTTATTGAACATTTTGTTTGCTCTTTAATATTCCAATTTTGTTCAAATTGAGACCATATCCAGGAGTATCAAATCGAGATGGTGAAATGCAATCATGCTATAGTGCCTCTTGTAGTCAATTACTGTCAGGTCTATCTATGCTATGCATCATAAACAAACTGAATCCATTTGGTTCAAAATTGTAGGTCTTTCAGTTGTTCAGAGATGCAATCCTGATGCTGTTCTTCTGACACACCAAAGTACAATGGATCGCATTGGGAAAGGTTAGAGCCTACACATATTCGATTTATTTTGCCAATATTGCAAAACTTATCATTGTCATGGCAGAAATGTGCATCTCCCTATTTCTGAGGTTCTGAAAACTTGAATGACCGAGGAGGTATCTGGCAAGTTTTATTACTCTGAACTACCAATCTGTCACTTCACTCTTTATACTATCCACATCTCCTCAGATTATCATACTTAGACCTTGCTGTGGATATTGGGAAATCATCTGAATAGTTTTGTAGGTTGGATTACAGATCCTTTGTCCTAAGCCAGATGAGGTTTCCTTTGATAAATGGTGGGCTAGAGATGGGACCCTTACTCCCTTATCATCTTAGGTGCTTGGATGATTTGGAATCACCGTAAGTGGTGTGTGTTTGATGGTGCTGCTCCTAGCATAGCTGGAGCTCTGACGCTTGCTGTTGAGGAGCTCCACCTTTGGGGGGCAGGGGCTCAAGGAACTACATACCTTCCTGCCCTTGCTCCAGAAGGTGGATGATGGGTTGCAGCTACTGGATCGGGGTTGTTTGTTGTGTTTTAGTCAAGGTCGATGTCGTTTTCTTCCTAATCATTAGGGTGTGTTTGTGGGTTTTTTGGTCTCTGTTTGTAAGGGTCATTTTTTTCCTTCTTAATATAATGGTATTTAAATCTCCTGCATTTCATGGTTTTCCTAAATGAATATGTTCTCTTAATAATCTAATATTCAATATAATAATCTAGTGTATCACACAATCATTTTAGACTATTATTGTCATTTCCCTAACTTAAGCTGGGCTGCACTGCCTGTTTGTGATTTAGCCTTAAGATGTACTTTTTTCTGTTTATTATGTTATCCATGCCCTGATGCCCATGTTTTTGTTCATCTCAATGTGCATGATGCCATGATGTATAGGAAATTGGCAGATTGACTACACTTCAGTAACTGGTGGTGAAAAGATATGCATAGGTGACCAAGAACTACAAGTTGTTTTTGCACCTGTAAGTATAATGCTCTTGGATAATTTTCTCCCATTTGTGTTTTTTGCTTACAATTTTTTATACCTACATACTTGCTGGTAAGAAGAATTTTCTTTTGTTGAGCTCTTAACGCATGATAATGGATTCAAATGGTCCAATAATTATAAAGTTTCTGAAGTCTTTAACTTATTGTCCTAGCTAGGTCTATTTAGAGCCAAGTCAAGAACATCAACCTATAAAAATAGTCTGTAAAAGTTGATAGTAATACATGCATAGTACTATAGTGCTTGGTTGCTACTAAACATTTTATATTGCAGTTGCACAGAGGCAAATATATTAGCAAAACAAGGGCATGCCTGAACTTACTATGAGAAGTCATAGGAGAAACATATCTTGTTTTATTTCAGATTCTAGGAGCTAAGCCATTTCCTGATGTGATCTTAACTCCAATTATTATCGATTCTTGATTGCTTTATTTTTCATAAAGAATTTTTTATTTGAAAATGACGTAAATTTTACTCAACTTTACACTTTCTGGAAATTCTTTTTCCCCTTTTGTTAATTAGACCAATGCATACAACTGTAGTTTTTTTATTTGATCAATAATAAAGTGATGCAGACTGTTCAAAAAATAATAATAAAGTGATGCATTGCTTGTATATTACATTTCTGTGTATTCTATTTTGGTTCTTAATTCCTCACCATATTTGAATTTTAGGGTCATACAGATGGTCATATGGGGCTTCTCCATGTAAATACGAATACATTGGTTGTTGGAGATCATTGTGTAGGGTAAGCATTGTTCAGATTTTTTTTTTTTGAATTACACAGTACAGACACAGACGCTCACAACGCACGCACACTCACCCCTATGAACGAACGCACGCAAACCCTACCCCTATGAGCACCTCCGAAAGACTGCGCCGACAGATCTTGAGATTGACGAAGTCACCATAAGCGCCTCGCTGTCAACAGGAACGTCGCCTACCACTGAAAGCACAATGCCGTTAAATCCTAGAATAAATCAGGAAAATGCGAGCACCCGTGCCAAGTCGAGGACTTCGGGTGGGTAGGTTCCACCACAAGGAACCAAACCAACTGAGCTAGGCTCGCATAGGGAGATGATATATGATCTCAAGTGTGAAGTCAACTATAATTATAGTATCACCTTTAAAATGTTAACTTGTTAGCCAAATACTCATGTCACATTCTCCTATTTCAAGATCACAGTGACAATTCTCATGCACAGTGGATATATGAACGCCACCCTGCAGTACATTTACACATTTCCCGACTTTTTTTCATCCTGAACTAAAGTTTTTAAAAAGAGCAATGAATCAAACTTTTTTTTGACATTTGGAAGTGCTGGAATTTTGTAGGAAAGGAATATGCCTGTTTTTGTTTTTGTCTATCTGGAACCTAAATAGCTTCCTTTTAAGATGCAAGTTGACTTGATTTATCTTCCTCTGCTATTGCAAGCAATATTGCATTTCATTTTTGTTTTCTGAAGCAGCATCATTAAATGGTTATAGATTAAAACATGGCCAAAAGGAACATAACTAATCTTTGAAACAAAGTGGTAGAGTCAACATTCCTATGCTATGTACTCTTAACTTAAATGCATCATGTATGTGCAGTTCTTAAAAGATGTTTTTTACCCATTTGCAGGCATGGAAGTGCAACTTTGGACAGTAGAAATGGTGGCAACATGAAGGTAATGGTAACTTGTTTTGGGAACCTGAAAGGTTAAAATAGCAATGTGGCATCACTGCACTCTAAGCAACTGAATGGAATATGTGCTCCCATTCTTTCTTCATGTGCACTCTTCCCTCCAGAATAGACTTAATAGTGCTTTATAACAGAATTGTTTGATTTGAAATCTGCAGGATTACTTTGAAACTACATACAAATTCTTGGACTTGTCACCACATGTCTTAATTCCAATGCATGGAAGGATCAACCTATGGCCCAAGTATATGCTTTGTGGATACCTCAGGCATGGAGAACTAATCATTTCTTTATATGAGTTTTTTTAAGAAAAAAGAAACTTTATCGCTCCCTAGCTTCTCTGGCTCATGTTCTACAGGATATACGTACATGTTATAAGTTCTATTGTTCACAGTTGCTTTTGGAATTTTTTTCCATATCCAATTCAAATGTAGCCTGCTTACTTCTTACCCTATATGAAGGGATTTTCATTTTTAAAAACAATATGCCTTTTTCAAGACTCTGCGCATTCTGATCCTGTCCGTGTTTACCAGGAATCGAAGGGCTAGAGAAGTGTCCATTCTGCAATCCATAGAGAGTGGGGCCCAAACTCTGTTTGATATAGTTTCAAAGACTTACAGTGATGTTGACAGGAAGTTGTGGATTCCTGCTTCTTTCAATGTTCGCCTTCATGTTGATCATCTGAACTCCCTACGTAAATTGCCCAAGGTGAGTATTAGAAATATTACATCCTGAGATACACCTTTACCCTGTATGCATTATTAAAGAAGATAAAGATATTCTAGATTTATGCATAATCTGTTCTATTTGATATTGTATAAATGATTGATATAGTGTAGGGAAAGTGCTGCAGAATGATCATTTAGTCAAATAGAAATGTTACTCCCAAACACTGTTGATTTAAATGATTGAATCCACATGATTGGGCTAGAGCTTCTCATTGTGGATGAGACTTGAGTTGGTTTGCATTTTGCCACATTAAAATTGTAATTGACGGGGGGGGAGGATTCCATCTGGATTTTCATTCAAAAGGGTACAATTGGAAACACCATCCGCTAAGGATGTGGCTGGCCTTAATACAAGTTTGTGCTAGCTTCCATGATTCGTGGAGTTATGCTTTTCCTCATTTGACCTGACAAACGTAGTGATAGCGCGATGGTAGGACCTCGAGTTGGGAGGCTGAGCCTGCTGGCGAGGTCCCCGGGTCGAGTTTTTTTTTCCTCATTTGACCTCTACTTTGTTGCTAGAACTGATTATTCAATCGTAAAGCCAATTACTTAGTTTAATCAAATATTTTGGGGATTATCATGCAGGATTACTTAGTTTAATCAAATATTTTGGGGATTATCATGCAGGATTTCTCTTTGGAAATGTTCAGTCGAAGTTGTGATGATTTTATCTCTAGAGTTTGATGGCAAGTATGAGAGAAAGGATCTTCCAAGTCACATTCTGTGTTTTGATTGCATTTAAGCTGCTCTGTTCACCATTTTTTTGTTTTATTTTGTGCATGACACTGAACAATTCAATGATGGGGAACAAAATCTTGTAATAATCTGATGAATATTTAGATTGTCCACCAAGGCTAGCATTCACACTTCCGAAATAGCAAGATTAACAACTCTAATATATGCAGGACTTCTCATTGGAAAACTTTAAGGAAAGCTGTGGAGTGCATTTCATATTACGTTGGGCGGTGGCATATGTGCATTCCAGGAGCTCCCCAGCTATCCTTGCGGCAAGTGCCCTTGCTGGTGGTCTTGCAATTGCTTGTGCTCTCAGAAGGAACTATTGGAAGCAATCATAGATTCTCTCGGTCGATAATTTTCCAGCTACATGCACATTATATTATTCCCAGGATCCTGCTTCCAGTATGTTGAGTCGAAAGGTGAATTGCCAAAACTCTTATTCTACAATTATTGTCCTTGATTGCCACATCTATACACAAGAGAAGTATCCAGACTAGGAGCATGGAAAGTGAGGGATTAGGATCTGAGTTCTTAGGATTTCAATCAAATTTTAACCGAATCGTAGAATCCCTAAAAGCAGTTGCCTCATCAAAAACAGGGGCAAGTAAGGTGTTATTAAGGGCCTACGAGGTCAAATATGTTAGTGTCTGCATAGTTCTTACGGCTCACAATCGTCTAGGAGGTAGACTGGTAGTTAACCTTAGCATTGGACGGAAGAGGCAAAGCAAACTTGAAAGTGAGCATCTCCTGGCTCATGCCGTTTCTATGTTGACCCCGTGAGCATAAAAAAAGGGGCTATTGTGTTTTGTCCCTACTTTGACGTTCAGTTGTGATTTTATCTCTGTTTTTGGCATCGTTGTTATTTTACCCATGTTTTTTAAAAACGGAGCTTAAGTTTACCCCTTTTCCGGTGTCAAATGGATTCAGTAAGGACAAGTTTGCCCATGCGAAATTGCCTCTACTTATCTGAATATATTGTGATTTTACCCTTATTTTTTTTTAAAAAAAATTGACAACATCATTACACAACTTGTTACATATGATTCCATACAGCATGCAAATATAGATATATAATATCACATCAAGTGAAAGTGTAGCAAAAGTATCTATACAGCACCAAGCCTCATCCAACATACATAATTGTATTGTTCATGAGACAATAGAGACCCAGAAACATGCTACAAACTCCTTGAACAAAAGAATCTTACATAAAGTAGGTACTCTTGTATTGTTCATATTCGCATGGATTCAATTCCTCGTTCCCTTTGTCTCATACAAGATCATATAGGCTTTACACATTGATCTGCTGCCTGGTACAGCTGGAACCTATATGGCTCTATCTGAACAAAACCATGTAGATTTCAGAAAGCTCGCAACAATTGTGTATGTTGTCCCATATTTTAAGAGATGCAAAGCATGCCCAAATCAACATGGCAGCTGAATTGGGTCTCAAACTCTCGATCCACTGGAACCAATGTACAACCATTTGAGCGCTCCCATTGCATCAGCAAGGCATGATCCATATCAGAATGTCGATGCTTACCAATGCATTAGCAAGACATGGTGCTTATCAGACTGTCGACTCTTACAGGTTGGAAGAAGTGAAGATTACGAGTGACGTCCATGTCCCGGACACCGCGAGCGCAGTCCCGATTACGATGACGGCCACGTCGGCGACGAGCCCGGTCCACCCAATCTCGGTGCCGAAGACCTTGAGGTGGAACGCGGCGTGGGAGTCGCCGATGGCCAGGCCGTACCCAAAGAGGTCCCTTGGCAGCGCGCCGGCGGCAGAGGCGTTCGCCGCCGCGCCGACGTCGTCCACGCCAGAAAGCAGAAAGCGCGCCGGGAGGCGCGAGGCGGTGCATGCTCGGGAGCCCCCCACGGCGAGGTACTGGCGCTGGCGGTCGCGTTAGCGAGCCCCCCGCCGCACCGCGCGCTACCTGCGGGGCCCCAAGATCAGACGGCCGCGACGCGTTGGTCTCGGCAGCGCAGTGAAGCCGCCCCGGAGATGAGCGAGCGGAACCGCCGTCGCGGCTGCTGGGAACCGGTCCCCGCCAGCGCCACCATAGGACTCTCCCGGTCCGAGGCGGAGGTGTTAACAGAGGGCGCATGACGCGTGGTCCCCCGCCGGCGGCGAGGTCGGCGAGCGGGTCGGGACCGTTGTAGAGCCGTCCGTCGTCGCTGGATCCACCGCCAGAGATCGTGCCCACCATGGATCCACCGACGAAGGATGAGACCTCCCTGGATCCGCTGTCGGGAAGCGCGTCGGCCATGGATCCGCCACCGGGGGGGGGCAGCCATGGATCTAGCTGCCCTCCACCGGATCCAGCCGCCATGGATCCGGCCGCCCTCCACCGGATCCAGTCGCCAGGGGCGCGCCCACCATGGATCCGGCCGTCCTCCATCGGATCCAGCTACCGGGTGGCACGCCCGCCATGGATCCAACCAGATCCGAGGTGAGGGAGAGGGGTTGCGCCCACCACGCCGCTGGAGGAGAGCCACGCCCGCCGCTGATGGAGGAGAGCCGCGCCATCCGCTACCGGAGGAGAGCCGCGCCCGCCATGCTGGAGAGCCGAGCGAGGAAGAGGGAGAGTGAGAAGGAGAGGATGGCGGCGCTGCTCCCGGGAGGGTAGGGGCGGGGCGCTGCTCGGGGAGGGGAGGGGTCGCGGCGCCGCTTGAAGTCACGAGGGAGGGGCGCGCGTGGCGCTGCTCTCAGCCGCTGGGCCCTGGCCGCCCGACGCCCGAGCACCTGCCCACCCGACGAACGGTAGAGGATGGGGGGATTGGGGAGGGTAGGAGTGAATAAGGGTATTGTTATCCTTTGGTCTTACTGTGAAGGGTTTTGTTGTTTTTTAATTTTTTTTATTCTAGATATAACTAACAGAGTTAAAAGTAAGGGTAAACTGAGCCTTAATAATTACAAAGCAGTGGTAAAATCACAACGATGACAAAAACGAGGATAAAATCACAATTTGACATCAAAGTAGGGGCAAGAACACAGTATTCCCTAAAAAAAACCTACTAACAGGCATGAAAAACTATGCCTGTTGTCTCTCCTACGCTTAGTCGTGTCACTCCAAAGTTTCCTTTGTTGCCACTCTTAGTTGTTCCTGCCTTTTTCCTTTCTTTGGAAATTATTGCGGAATACTCTGTCACCAATGCAATTGGATGATAATTTAAACATCTGAGTGTCGTTTCAGTGGGAGATTTGATCCTTGCGCCTTCAGATCGGCATTTCTGCTGTGTGTGCACAGCTGAATGATAACACAGTCCAATGAATCGGCATTTGTTCCTCCCAAACGAGCACGGCAACTTTGTGAAGCTATATAATTCATGACGGAAGCAAAGGATCAACGTGCGACCCATAGGTTGCTGCCAACATACTAGCTCCTACTGATAATTCGAAAGAGGTTAGTGAACGCAACTGACTTTTGCAGGGAGCAGTCAGAAGCTATGTTAATTTGCAGAGCAAGCAAAGCGGAGCTGTGGGAGTGCGTGTATTTTAGTTCCATCCCGTTCAGGCAGTAGAACACCGGAGATAGTATAAGTGCATAACCAAGGTAGCTGAGCTCACCCAGTGTTGTGCTGCGAACTTCAGGCCAAGCCATGAACGACGTAAACAAAGCCATGGCTGTGTCTCACTCTCACATAGGCGGGAAGCTCCTCAATGTGGTGCCTATGCTTCTTCTCTTCTCCTTGGGATTTGTGCTCGGCATGACCTCCAACTCCAAGTTCCCAAACTTCTACCTCTCCTCCGTCGCGCCATCGCCCACTCCGTCGCCACCTCCGGTACCATCTTCACCACCTCCGGCGCCGCTGCCACCGCAAAACCCACAAGTGGGGCTGGCACGCTTCCTGGAGCCGCCCAGCGCCATGCACAACATGACCGACGAGGAGCTGCTGTGGTGGGCGTCCATGACGCCCAAGGTCCGCAGCACGCCGTACCACCGCGCGCCCAAGGTTGCCTTCTTGTTCCTGGCGAGAGGGGACCTGCTGCTGCGGCCGTTGTGGGAGAAGTTCTTCGCGGGGCACGAAGGCCTGTACTCCATTTACGTGCACACCGATCCTTCCTACACCGGCTCGCCGCCGGAGGACTCCGTCTTCTACGGTCGCATGATCCCAAGCCAGGTAACTATAATAGAGCAATCTGAATTCTGAAAACGATGCAGAAAATGCAGAAAACGATATCAAGCTGAAGGCAACTACTCCTACATATATAAAAATTGCAGAAAACGATGTGGGGAGACGTGAGCCTGGTGGCCGCGGAGCGCCGGCTGCTGGCGAACGCGCTCCTGGACCTCGGCAACGAGCGGTTCGCGCTGCTCTCCGAGACGTGCATCCCCCTCTACAACTTCAGCACCGTGTACGCCGTGCTCACCGGCACCAACACCAGCTTCGTGGACGTGATCGTCACCCCGGCGCGCTACAACGACCTGTTCGCGGAGCGCAACAACATCACCGTGGCGCAGTGGCGCAAGGGCGAGGAGTGGTTCGAGATGGACCGCGCGCTGGCGCTGGAGGTCATCTCCGACGGCACCTACTTCCCCACGTTCCGCGAGCGCTGCGTGGGGCAGGCGGCCTGCCTCATGGACGAGCACTACGTGCCGACGCTGCTGAGCGTGCTGCGGTGGCCGCGGAGCGCCAACCGGACGCTCACGTTCACGGACTGGAAGCGCCGGGATGGGCTGTTCCACCCGCACAGGCACGGCGCGGAGGAGGTGACCGCGGAGCTGGTCGAGGAGATCAGGGGAGGCGCGCGCTCCGGCAGGAACTGCAGCGCATACCACGACGGGGCCACCGGCGTCTGCTTCCTGTTCGCGCGCAAGTTCTCGCCGGACACGCTCCAGCCGCTGCTCCAGTTGGCGCCCAAGGTCATGGGGTTCGGGTGAGACGATCGAGATTTTATATTGCTGTGGCTGCTTTACATGTTTTTGGAGTTAATTACTGTACGAGTGTCATCTATCAACACCAGTCACTAGAAGAATAAATTAAAATAGTTTTTTGAAGCTTCTTCTAACGTGTAGCTGCAGAAACGGGAATGATCGCTTGGTTAATTTGGCGAGCGATAGCCATGTTGCTTGCTAGTTTCACGGCACGCAATCACATTCACGCCAGCACCCGCGTGCAGGCCCGTGATCGCCGTGCGCCCGCCCAAGGTCACCGACCTTTTGACTTTTGAGGGCCGGTACAGCACTGTTGGGCATTGTGTAGCACCGAGCCATTTTGGTTCCCGAGGTCAAAAATAAACTGAAAAGAGGCGTTAGTGGAGCCACGATTTCTAGCTTCACTGGCTCCGTGCTATAGGACTGAAGCCAAAAGACCTGCTCATGCTCCGGCTCGGCGTCGGTATCCAACAAGTAGGAGAGCTTTGAGCAGGAAAGGTCTGAGGGTCAATGGGCACGACGAACTAGACTTTCGTCTCTCCCGTTGTGCTGGGAGCTAAGTGTTTACGTCAATGTATTGAACCAAGTTCGGCAGCCTATCTAATGCATGATTCACTTGTCTCTCATAATATTTTTTTGGTTCTTATGTTAAAGCTGGCTATAAACTTACAATCCGCTTTTCCTCTCTCTCCTCTACCTCAGTATACAACCCATATATAGTCCTTTACAATACTTGCTCTAAGTGATGAACATAGGCAATTATTGATTTGAGCTTGCCTTTATCTAGAGTGTAGACAACTGTGCACGTACTTTTGACATTTCAATATCTCTAAAACTAAACAAACCTAAGTGTAGTCATTCACACCTCCTCTTTTGGCCCGTCCCTCTTGATCGCCCCACCCTGCTCCGCGTTTGGCTCCACCACTCGACGATGCAAACGGATCAGATCCCCTTTCTCCCAGCAACGCTTCATAAAATATCAAATATTTATAAAAAGATTATGGTCCCCGGTGCAACACACGGGTAAAACCTAGTTTTACATAAAGATATTGAAATTCATATAAAAACATAAAAATCTTGAAGTTATTTTTCAAAAAAGTTAAACTAGTTTTGAAGAAAAGTTGGTTACACTAGCCCATCATTCTAAATATATCATTGTACTATTTTCTCATATAACATGTTTATGCAAGAAAATAATTAGTCTTTCCTAAATTGTTGGTCTAGTTAAACCTGGAATCCAACTCGTAAATGTAATTTACACATCTCAAGGATTAGAAAGAATATTAGGAAAAGTAAATGAATTTGGGCTGACTATGCGCAAGTTGGGCCAAACTTCTCGGGCTGAGCATGCCAGCCTCTGTCGGGCCGATTTTGGAATTCGGACGACTGACCCAGCACACGGTTTTCCTTTGAAAAAAAGTCCACATTACCTTCCTCAACTTTCGCGAAAGTCATTTTCCTCCCTGAACTCCAAAACTAGTCAAAACAAATCCCTCAACTTTTAAAACCGTTCATCTTACCTCCCTGACCCTGTTATAAGCAATTTTGAAGGTGGTTTTGTCTTTTTCTTTTTTATTTATTTCGGCTAAATCTTTGAAAAATCATACTAAATCATAGAAAAATCATAAAATAAAAAATCTAATTTTGTTGGACTCCACATGAGTAGATCTACACAGAACATATAATACGGTATGCTTTAATACAAATTTTTTCTGTAGCTTTAGATCTATGCTTCTCTGTAATTAAATGGAATAATTCATAGCTGCAGTTTCTATGATCCAATTGTGATAAATTTTTTATGGTGGGCTAATTATTGTATGCTTAAACTGTAGTAAAATTTTATATTCATTGGATCATGTATAATTTAGTTATAGATTTATTTAGGTTTATGCTTGTTAAATATAAATAAATCTATAACTAATCTATACATGATCCAATGAGTATAAAATTTTTACTATAGTTCAATCATACAATAATTAGCCCATCAAAAAAATTTCATCGCAATTAGACCATAGAAACTACATCTATGAATTATTTCAATTAATTACAGAAAAACATAGATCTAAAGTCACAACAAAAACTTTGTACTAAAGCATACCATATTATATATTCACTGTGTAGATCTACTCATGTAGAGTCTAACAAAATTGGATTTTCCATTTTATGATTTTTCTATGATTTACTATGATTTTTCAAAGATTCAGCCAAAATAAATAAAAAGAAAAAGACAAAACCACCTTGAAAGCTGCTTATAACAGGGCAGGGAGGTAAGATGAACGGTTTTAAAAGTTGAGAGAGGTATTTTGCCCAGTTTTAAAGTTCAGGGAGGAAAAGCTAACTTTCGCGAAAGTTGAGAGAGATAAAGTGGACTTTTTCCATTTCCTTTGTGTTTCATGCTCAGCCTTGAAGTGACGAAGAGGACTCGATACTGGCCTACGAACAGCAGAGTGGTTTAGGGTTTGCAAATTGGAATCTCTGGCGCCCACCAAATCCCAGTCCCCGATCCTAAAGATGGCAACGGGGAATTCCCCGTCGGGGGATGGCTCCCCATCCCCGTTAACACCGTCGGGGCTTGAGTTCGCCCCATGCCCGTCCCCGAGCGGGGAATTTATCCCCGCGGGGATCCCATCCCCGTTTCAACGACACAGCCATAGCCCATGGAAGAGTATAGCCAAGAAAAGTGCAGGAGCAAACCAAATTGAACACCATGAAATTCCAACAGCTTCCAACACAAAAGCGAGGACGAGGACGTGCTACCATCCCCATCCCCGCCAGCCCCGACGGGGAGCAAGTTTCTACCATTAAAATCCCCGTGGAGATGAATTTACTACCATCCCCATCCCCTAATAGGATAATTCTCCGCAGGGATTCGGGGATCGGGTCCCCCTTGCCATCTTTACCCAGTCCCCACTGCCCAAATCCGTCATCCATCTCTCTGAGTAGATTCTCCTCCGACGGATGGAGAACAAAGCGAGGCGGCGAGCTGCGGGCAGAGCGCGCGGCGCGCAGGACTGCGTTCGGCGTTGCGGCTGGGAACCGAGCACGAGCAGGAAGCAGGTATGAGAACTCCCAAAATGGAACCGTGAATGCTCGAGTGGTTGATTGAATGAGCTAAGAAATGGAATTGGGAAACGTTTGTAAAATCAAGATTTATGTTAACTCGCATGCCTACATTCGAAGTTCTAGGTCTGCCTCAATTTGTAAAAATCAAGATCTTCACATTTCTGATGAACAAATATCCTTACTACAAGACTAAAAAATTTAGATCGGTGTATTTTTACCATTTTGGTCCCTCATGAAACAGAACCATGGCAGTATCTCACTTGGCTCGCCGGAGGCATCGTTTCAGTAGGTACATGGTCTCTGATTGCAATGTCAGTGGAAATTTCTTGCTTTTGTGCAAAACTGCCTGATAAGGAGTCCCTCTTGCGCAGTGCAAGAAAGAGGTAGGGCGAATTCCTTTTGGCTACCGTCCATACATATGGAATAGATGTTCTTTTAGATTTCTAATAATGGAAGGAAAGGATGAGACCTATGGCTCATAGATTATTGCTTCTGAGGTATATCCTACTCATAAAACATTGCTTAGTCAATACTCAAATAGAACTTTTGAATGAACAAGCCATGTCAATTTGGACAAGTTGTGCTTGCTTGCATGCGTGGACCCTCAACTCAAGGATGGTTAGATCACTAGTTCAGCCAGCCCAATCATATAACCGGTAGCAGCATTTATTTCTCATGCATGTTGCTAGCTTGAGGCTAAGCCTGCTAGTCATGAGCAACACAAGCAAGTCTATGCCAATGTCTCACTTAGGCAGGAAAATCCTCAATGTGGTGCCTATGCTTCTTGTCTTCTCCTTAGGATTTTTCATGGGCATGATCTCCGACTCCAAATTCCCAAACTTCTACATCCCTTTCGTTCCACCAATGCCCTCTCCTGCACTTCCTTTGCCACAGCTGCCTGTGTCATCACAATCTCCACCCTTGCAACCTATACCGCCGCCGCCACCATCACTACAACTGCAAGTGGCAGAGGTGATGCGCTTCTTGGTGCCAAAGAGCGCCATGCACAACATGACTGACGAGGAGCTGTTCTGGTGGGCATCCATGGCACCGAAAGTCCGGAGCATGCTGTTCCACCGTGTGGCAAAGGTTGCCTTCTTGTTCCTGACAAGAGGGAACCTGCCTTTGTGGCCTTTGTGGGAGATGTTCTTCAATGGGCACGATGGCCTGTACTCCATCTATGTGCACACTGATCCTTCCTACACTGGTTCGCTTCCGGAGGAGTCCGTGTTCTATGGTCGCATAATACCAAGCCAGGTACTAAAAAGATAGAGAAGGGCGTACCCAGCGCAGAGAGCTCCTGCTCTGTGCGGGGTCTGGAGAAGGGTGTTAGTGGCAAGCCTTACCCTCGCCTGTGCAATGCGAGGAGACCACGACTCGAACCCGGGACCTTCCGGACATAGGCGGTAAGACTCTACCGCTTGCACCAGGCCCGCCCTTCACTAAAAAGATAGAGAAATCTATAAATAATCCATTGGTTTAGATGTACTTAAACTTCTAAAGATATGGACACTAGAAAATGCTACACTGCATTGAAAAACCTTAAGATCATCAGATTCAAGACCCGCAAATGACCTAGTCTCTTCTTGTGATTGTTCCCATTCAAACAACTCCAGCATTCTTTTCTTTAACAAACAGCTCCAGCATTCTTATCTACACTTATTTTGTTAATTGTTCTAATCTAGTAACTAGCAGCATGGTTTTTAGCTCCTGCATATATATGTTTGAAATGCAACGACATATTTGGTGGATGCAGAAAATGATGTGGGGGGATATGTCCCTTGTGGCGGCGGAGCGCCGGCTCCTGGCAAACGCCTTGCTAGACCTCAGCAACGAGCGCTTCGTGCTGCTCTCTGAGTCGTGCATCCCCCTCTACGACTTCCCCACGGTGCACGCTGTCCTCACCGGCTCCAACACCAGCTTTGTGGACAGCTTCGTGAACCACGACAGCGAGGTGCGCTACAACCCCTTCTTCGCCGACCGCAGCAACATCACCCTTGCGCAGTGGCGCAAGGGCACCCCATGGTTTGAGATGGACCGTGCCCTCGCCGTTGAGGTCATCTCCGACGACACCTACTTCCTAGCGTTCCGTGAGTACTGCGCTGTCCAGCCGGCCTGCCTCATGGACGAACACTACATCCCAACTCCGCTGAGCTTGATCGGGTGGATGCACAACGCCAATCGGACGCTCACGTACGCGGACTGGAGGATTGGGGAAGTGCACCCACAGACGTACGGGAGAGATGACGTGACAGAGGATCTGATCAGGAAGATCAGGGGAGGCGCTGGCAGTGGCAGGAACTGCACCTACAATGACGGAGCGAATGGGACCTGCTACCTGTTTGCGCGCAAGTTCGCACATGATGCGCTCGAGCCGCTGTTCCGATTGAATCCCAAGGTTATGGGGTTTGGGTGAGATGATCAAGATTGTAGTTTGTTACCATTGTAATCCTTAGAAAAAGTGAAAAACAGCCGAGTGCTTATCAGCAGAAGATTCATTGCGTTTTCAACTTCGATGGAAGTGGCATTGGTCTCTTTACTTCTTTATATGAGACTTTGGTACTACTACAATGAATGAGCTTATAGTGTTCGTATGCAAGTTATTAGGCCCTTTACGTATGTGTAGCATTTGCAGAAGGCTGCTGTTAATGCTGGTTTCCCCCTTCTCTGATTTTTTTTAAAAAAAAGTTCAACTATGAAACTTTGGATAGGAATCTTAAGTAGGAGAAGCATCATTTCCGTGGGAGGAAATGGTCAAATGGGAGGATTTTTCTGAATTGCCCCATGCTACTGGCATAGAGCATTAGTATGAATCTGATGTTTCTGTTGATCTCTTGGGGAGTTTAGTTATATTGTTTTCCGTTGCCTCTTTTAGATGAAATTTCTTCTGACCTCTCCCTGTTACATACAAAAAAAAAAACTTCTGACCAGAAATCAAAGTTGATTAATAAGTTTCTCTTAGGCATCTACAATGGAATGAAAAAATGGTATATATTATTGCTTTGTAGTCACCCATCGGGATGCACTTATTATGCATCTAATCTAATGCGGCGCGGTAAGAGATAAAAGGGCTAAATAAGCTGTTTGTGCACACAATTATACATGGTATTGACCTCTAGGACGCCGCTAAGATGTGTTGTATTCAACATTTTCTTTATTTTAATACAAAGATGCGTAAACATTTTGCGTGATCAAGAAAAAAAACAATTATACGTGGTCTTTGCTCATCATAAGGGGCGTAAGTTCATTTTTTTACACAATTTACACAAAGTGAATAGTTGTGCAATTTATATATTTGTACCGATGATACCTACTTATAGGTTATTCCTTCCTTGCGATAGGCATCCCACGCTGATACTAACTAGCTTACTGAATACTCCTAACTTTTGCACGAACAAGCCATGCCAATTTGCACGACGAGTCAATCTCACCAACAGAGTAGTCAGTAGCAGTAGTATAACCAAGGCAGCAGCTGCATTTCTCTCTCGCTCATACCGCTGGCTAGCTTGAGACTAAGCCATGAAGGACACAAACAAGCCCACGCGGGCGCCGCGCTCAGTCGGGAAACTCCTGTACGTGGTTCATATGTTTCTCTTCGTCTCCTTGGGATTTGTCCTCGGCATGGCATCCATAGCCAAGTTTCCAAACATCTACAGTTACACCCCTTTCGTTGCATCACTGCCCTTTCCGATGCCACCACCACTGCCGCCGTCTACGCCGTCTCCGCCGCCGCCACCTCCACCAGCAGCAACGCCATTGCTGCCAGTTCCACCACAGAACCTACGAATGGGGCTGATGGACTTGCTTGCGCCAAGCGGCGTTATCCACAACATGACCGACGAGGAGCTGTTCTGGAGGGCGTCTATGGCGCCGAAGGCCCATCGCACGCCTTACCGCCGTGTGCCCAAGATCGCCTTCTTGTTCCTGGTGAGAGGTGAGCTGCCGCTGCGTCCTCTGTGGGAGAAGTTCTTCGCGGGGCACCAAGAGCTCTACTCCATTTACGTGCACCCTGATCCCTCCTACACCGGCTCGCTTCCGCCGGACTCCGTGTTCTACGGCCGCATGATCCCAAGCAAGGTAAATGAAATTCTAGCACTGCAAAGTGCTCTGCAACTTCTCGTTCCAGCGCAACCATGGATCTGCTGCTCATTGTTGGACGACGTACGTGTGCAGGAAACGAAATGGGGACACGTGAACCTGGTGGAGGCAGAAAGCCGGCTGCTGGCGAGCGCGCTCCTGGACCACAGCAACGAACGCTTCGTGCTGCTGTCGGAGGCGTGCATCCCCGTCTACAACTTCTCCACCGTCTACGCCTTCCTCACCGGCTCCGCCACCAGCTTCGTCGACAGCTACGGGAACGGCGACTGCCGCGCGCGCTACGACAGGTTCTTCGCGGAGCGCACCAACATCACCATCGAACACTGGCGCAAGGGCGCGCAGTGGTTCGAGATGGACCGGGCGCTGGCGCTCGAGGTCGTCGCCGACGAACACTACATCCAGATGTTCCGCGACTTCTGCGTCGGGCGGTGGCGCTGCCTCACCGACGAGCACTACCTCCCGACGCTGCTCAACCTGCTGGGGTGGACCCGGAACGCCAACCGGAGCCTCACGTACGCGGACTGGAAGCGGCCGCAGGGGATGCACCCGCACACCCACGACGGCGCTGAGGTGACGGAGGAGCTGATCAACAAGATCAGGGAGGACGGCGGCAACCGCTGCTTCTACAACGGCGCCCACGACGGGATCTGTAGCCTGTTCGCGCGCAAGTTCTCGCCGGACACGCTCGAGCCGCTGCTGCGCTTGGCTCCCAAGGTCATGGGCTTTGGGTGACCTCAATACCTCATGGTCAAGAGTAATTGTATCGTTACAGATTTACAGTACTTCCTACTGGCGCATCTGAGGTCGAAAACAGTTGCTTATTTATTTAGACAAAAAGGTTGTTGAGTGAAAAAGCCAACGATTTTGCACCGGACTTGTGCTACTGGAATCACTACTGGTTGCTGGTTGGGCATGTTGACCCAGAAGAATATAGAAACAGATCAGAACATGCATCACAAGTTATGCATCCACGCTCGGTTACGGTGTGCCTACCACTTGTGTCAATCCTAAGTTTCCTTTCTTCTACCCGGATCAGAGGTCAAGCCACCTCTCAGTGTGTTGAGTTTCAACGGATGGAACATCGATCGGAGACAGCTGGGATAAACAAACCTCGAACCACCACACCAAAGACACTGAGGCCGCAAATATGTTTGTTCGCAGCACAGTACCACGCCATGTGCCTTACTTTCACTCCCGTTCGAAATTATAAGCCCTTTATTTGTGGTACTTAAAAAGACAGGTCATTCTCACTACAAATAATTTAGCCAGAATAAAATAGGATGAAAGTAAAAATTTGACTTCAACCTCGCCTTATCCTCTTTCATGAACAGGGCATAAAGTTGGAATTCTTTATTTTATTGATGAGTAAAGCTAAATATAACTCGAGTGATGCAAGGCTTCCTATCACTCGAATTTTTGTGCCCAATCCAAAGATGCCACCTGACCTTCCACAACTCCGGCAAGGGTAGCGTTAGGGTTTAGGGTTCAGGGGTTTACCTGAGTCTATGGGGCTTAGTTGGATCGCTGGGGCAAAAGGTCAATAGCGAATAGTGGCGGGGCGAGATGAGGCAAAGGTCGGCGGTGTTGGGGGGAGACGGTTGGACGTGGCAAGGGCATGAACATCATGGTGATAGCCTGACCACCTCCATGGGGTTAGTGTGGCAGAGTTTGTAGGCGGAGGCAGTGGGGAGCCGTCGAAGCTGGGGAGAGGTGGTGGCAGTGAGGAGCTCGAATAGGGATGAAAGGAGACGGCGAGGAGGAGACACATCCGATGGATTTTAGGGGCGTGTTAAACAGTTGCGGATTAGTGGCTGGTGAGCCGCCGGAGCCGGGTAGGGAGGCAAAGGCGACAAGGGTGAGTAGGGCGTCATGGTTGTGTCCATGCAAGCAGAGGGAGATGAAGGGAAAAGAAGATAAGATGAAGAGCGGGAAATTTAATTTGGACCGTTTATTTTAGATCTATGGGAGGGAAACGAGTGATGATTGATCTCAAAACATTTTGTTACCTAGACTAGAGGAAAATGTTTTGTTTGGATGGGCCTTTGATATATTCCTCGTCTATAGTTTGACCGTTGGCGGGCTCCTCTTTTGTTGTGCTCCTAGCTAAGGATATATTGTTTTTTTTTCTCCTCATATAAGATGATCCTTTTGCACAATATTATATGTAACAAATAGATATGGAGCTGTTTATAATTCTCCATCGGTAGTTTAGTCGTCATTGTGGCATGTTGGATTTAGAAGCATAGAAATTGTTGTCTTTGAGGGGTCTCTGCCCAATTTTAATTGGTTTCATCATGCAAGATATTAGAGAGCTAAAGGGCTTCCTAGCTCTTGGCCATGACTGTTTTATCGATCTTTGGTATTATTTACTTTTTTGTTTTTTTGTGTTTTCTTCGATTGTAATGCCCTTGTAAGGGGTTGTTTGAGTTGCCTAAACAGCTATCCTTATTCTTCTTCTTAATATAATGATACGTACAGCTCCTCTACGTGTTGAGAAAAAAAAATCCATCGGTAGTTCATAGCGGAAGCAACGCAAAGGATGAAACTACGACGGTACGACCCATCGATTGCTTGCATCCTACTAACAACTCGTGAAGTGAATCAGGCCGGGCACGTAGTACACTAGTAGCTTTTGCACGAACAAGCCATGTTAATTTGCAGCGAAAGCAAAGCCATCGGCGCCGTGCGTGAATTCCGATTCCCTCGACGAGGCAGTAGCCAGTAGAGTAGCAACCATTGTATAAGGCTGCAAGTGCATGGCCAGGGCAGAGCGTCTCTCCCTCACGCATGCTAGCTTGAAGCCAAGCCATAGCCATGAAAGACACGACGAAGAAGCCCACGCGGGCGGCGTCTCGTTTAGGCGGGAGGCTCATCGGCGTGGCATCCATGCTTCTCTTCGTCTCGTTGGGGTTCGTTCTCGGCGTGACCTCCTCCAACGCCATGTTCATCCGATACTACCTCCCTTTCATGCCACCGTCGTTACGCTCTAGCGCTGCGCCGTCGTCGTCTTCGCCTCCGCCGCTGACGACGCCACCAACACCGCCGTCGCAGCCGCCGCAGCCGCCTCCGCCGCAAAACCCGCAGCTTCGGTCGGCGGGCTTCCTTTCCCCGAGCGGCGTCATGCACAACATGACCGACGAGGAGCTGTACTGGCGAGCGTCCATGGCGCCAATGGTCCGCCGCACGCCGGTCAGCCGCGTGCCCAAGGTGGCTTTCTTGTTTCTGGTCAGGGGGGAGCTGCCGCTCCGGCCTCTGTGGGAGAAGTTCTTCGCGGGCCACGAAGGGCGGTACTCCATTTACGTGCACGCCCACCCGTCCTACACCGGCTCGCCGCCGCCGGACTCCGCATTCTACGGCCGCTACATCCCGAGCCAGGTAACCAAGATCCAGAGCACTCGATCTGAAAAAACAAAATGTATTGATGAATCTCGTGCTACATTGACATTGACAATACGAAACTATATATTTCATCTCGGAGGTTTTATTGCAGATAACGAAATGGGGCGACGCGAGCCTGGTGGAGGCGGAGCGGCGGCTGCTGGCGAACGCGCTGCTGGACCTGGGCAACGAGCGGTTCGCGCTCTTCTCCGAGGCGTGCATCCCGGTGTACGACTTCCCCACCGTGTACGCCTTCCTGACGGGCTCCGACACCAGCTTCGTGGACTGCTACGAGAACGGCGGCAGCCGGTCGCGGTACCGGCCCTTCTTCGCCACCCGCAACATCACGCTGGCGCGGTGGCGCAAGGGCGCGCAGTGGTTCGAGATGGACCGCGCGCTGGCGCTGGAGTCCGTCGCCGACGACTCCTGCTTCCCGGCGTTCCGCGACTTCTGCGTGGGGCGGAGGGAGTGCCTCATCGACGAGCACTACCTGCCGACGCTGGTGAGCCTGCTGGGGTGGGGCCGCCGCAACGCCAACCGCACGCTCACGTACGCGGACTGGAAGCGGCCCGTCAACCGGCACCCGCACACCCACGGCGCCGACGAGGTGACGGAGGAGCGGATCAGGGAGATCAGGGACGAAGGCGGCAGGCGCTGCTTCTACAACGGCGCCAGGAAGGGCATCTGCAACCTGTTCGCGCGCAAGTTCTCGCCGGACACGCTCCAGCCGCTGCTCCGGCTGGCGCCCAAGGTCATGGGCTTCGGCTGACCTGCAGGCGATCCACCGGATGAGCAGAGGGAGGAGTGTACCATAGCATTCTACTATTCTTTGCGTCGTGGCTGACCGATCCAGGTTGAGCTGGGATCACAGGCAGAGAGTCCAGTATGAGGAGCAGAATAAACTCTGAATTGTTTGCGAACCATACACACAGTATCATGAACACCTCGTTTGTCAACTGATAACATGGTGCTGGGCTGCTGGCTGGGTTCACGGCGGCATGGCGTCGGCACGTTGTAGTTGCGCGGCGTGGTGGTGGGTAACGCGGGCGGAAGGCGGAGCACGCACCTCTCGTGCGCCGCCGCCGCGACCAGCGCGGACGTTGGCAATGGAGTGAGCTGCCGGTTGCGTTGCGTGCTTCCCTCCTCGGCACGGGAATCGGAGGGGAGACCGGGAGAGCGGAGGTTCCGGTGATTTGGGCGGAAAAGGCGGGCCTTGGTGGAGGAGCTTGACTTTGTTCACTCGTGCTGGGCCGGATCTCGGTTTGGCTATAGCTGGGCCGAACAGTAGTTGAAACGAGCTCGAGCGTAGGATAGTGGGTGGAAACTGGCAGCCCATAAAATGGTGAGGGCTTCTTAATTTGAAGGCCTAGGTAGGTTAAGGCGCAAAGTGTCTTTAAGAAAAAGGAAATTTTATTCCAGCATCTACGTAAGTTCTTAACTATTAGTTATTATATTTTCAAGCCTCTAGCGTATTAAAATAATCTATCAAAAGGCAATTAAGAGCAATGAGACTAAAGCACCAAGGGTATTAAGAAACAACTACACATAGTTAGGGCAGTCCCAACGGTAGACACTATGCACGGTTTCCGTAGTGACCACGTCAGCAAAATTTTATCTATAGAAACTATCCCCACAATGTAGGTTTCTTCGCGTGATAAATGTGTGTTTCTCTCTCTCTCCCTCCACCGATTACCATGGATGCTCTCGCCTCTGGTATTCTCTCATTGCTAGTAGCTTTCTGGCGAGAGCAGCAGTACTTTTGTGTGCATCCAATGTGAGCGAAGGTGTGTAGCTGCCATGTGAGCGTCTGGCAGTGGCGTAGGCGAAGCGCGTGCGTGCTTTGGTGGCGAGCGCAGGCGCGCTTGCGCGGCCCAAAGCGTCGAAGCGTCAGCGGTTGCCCAAGCGGCTCGTGGTGCTTCTTCATGTCGATCGACGTGTCCGCTCTATACGTGTCCCATGGATGCGTGACGTACATGATGCATATGAGCGAATAGCGAACAATCAAACGGCGACCATCACAAATTGGACCCCGGCGGTTGCAATGTAGATCCGAAAGCGAGATCAAGTGCTCACTGAAGCAAAACCACCTCCACTTCGTGCCGTCCTCCTTCATGATCTTCCGCGGTGGATGCCCTAGTAGATGACGACGACCTTCTTGTCCCGCCTTGCCCCACCCCTTCCGCGGCCTCATGATCATGATTTTGGCGCTGTGGCGGATTGTGGTGGTCGCTTGCTAGCGTGTGCGGCGGTGGGTGGGGCGAAGCATGGTGGCGGCCGAAAAGCGGGCAGTGGTGGCGGCGGGCGGGCGATCATGCGCGGCGCGCAGCTGGGCGCTGGCGCGAAGGCGGTGTTGG